TTAAAATGGAATCGTACAAATAAGCCATATTTGCAAGAAGAGAAGAAAAATTTTGAATGCTAAGTAGCCTTAAAGCTTTTGATATCCATTGATTGTGAAAAAGTAAAGACTAGGGCTATTCACTTATGAAAATGCAAGAGCATAGGGAAAATGCCTACAAAATTGATACATGGCTCTGGGCTCACCCTACTTCTCAAGTCATTGGTATAGGAAATTAATCTCAACTCATGTAAAGGTAAGTGATCATAATGAAGCCAGCAGAAAATCTTTTCTAGCAGATACCCCAAGAATTAAGGAAGATAAGAATAAGGAAAGCAAAAGTAGATGAAGAGCACCCACCACAAAAATATTGGCATAGAGCAAATGAATCTAACAGAATATATCACCTGGGATGCAAAAATCTGGCTGAAACAAAGGCCTCTGTAAAGCAAACACAAGATAGAAGAGACAGTCACAAGAGGAGGTGGTGAAGTGTAAGAGAGAAAGGGAGTTGCCAGAAAACATCAATATGAAGAAAAACTCTTGGTCCTACACATTGAAAGGATAAAATGAGGATAAAATGATTCAACTTCTGCTCATAAATTTGAAAATTTACATAAAATGGAACATTTCTAGAAAAGCACCAATGTCAAACAAAACGGACTCAAGAATAAAGTGAATACCTGAGTAACATTAAATAAATTCAGGGGTGCCTGGGTAACTCAGTTGGTTAAGCATCTGGCTCTTGATTTTGGCTCAGGTTATGATCTCATGGTTCATGAGGTCGAGAGCTACATAGGGCTCCACACTGACAACACCGAACCTGCTTAGGATTCTCTCTCTTCCTGTCTCTCTCCCCCCGCCCTCTCTCTCTCAAAATAAATAAATGGAAACAAAAACAAAACATTGGGTGCCTGGGTGGCTCAGTTGGTTGACCATCCAACTTTGGCTCAGGTCATGATCTCACGGTTTGTGAGTTCAAGCCCCATGTCAGCCTTACTGCAGTCAGCATGCAGAGCCTGCTTTGGATCATCCATGCCTCTCTCTCTATGCTTCTCCCTCTACTTACTCTCTCTCTCACTCTCTCTCAAAAATAAATAAACATTTTTTAAAAACATTAAACTCAAACCATAGTTGAAAGCTTTACACAAAAATAATCACCAGGTATGCATGACTTTATTAATTCTACCAAACATTTAAGAAACAATACCAACTTTATACACATTCAGAATATAGAAAAGTAGGAAAACCTTTTGAATTCATTTTATGAGGCCAATAATATCTTAATATTAAAAACTGGCATTTAAAAAAAATACTAGTCAATCCATCAGGAAAATAAGTTCAAACTCTTAAACAAAATATTAACATGTCAAATCCAGCCAATAAAAAGAGTATAATCTATTAGGATAAAATTGAGATGATTCTAGGAAAGCCAGTAATATTTTAACATGAGCAATTTAACATGAACATGAAAAATTAATGTAATTCAACACATTAGAGTGTATTATTGCTTGAACTGTTCACCTCTCTTTGAATCCATGCCCTTGATCATTTAAATTTGCATTTCCTTCCACTACATTAATTAGGAATGCATTTCCTGCGGCTCCTTGGTGGCTCAATCGGTTAAGTGTCCAACTTTGGCTCAGGTCATGATCTCAGGTTGGTGGGTTCGAGCCCCAACAACAAGCTCAGAGCCTGGAGCCTGTTTCAGAATCTGTATGTCCCTCTCTTTCTGACCCTCCCCTGCTCACATTGTCTCTCTCTCTCTCTCTCTCAGAAATAAATAAACATTAAAAAAAATTTTAAAGGAATGCATTTCCCTTCTTTTTAACTTTGAGCTTAACCATGTGATTTTTCTGACCAATGAAATGTTAGCAGTGGTGGGATGGGAGGAACAGAGACTTGAAATGGTTCAAGTGAGCGGACTTGATATTTAGTATTTCTGCCATCAACGTTAGAAGAACATGCTCAGACTAGATGACTAGTCCCAAGATGAGTCTGACAACATATGAGCAGAGCTGTTGCACCTGACCTGGAGACCTGAAGAGTAAATGACTGCTGTTTAAGGTGTTGAGTTTCATGATGGTTTGTTGGCAGCATCGTTATGGCAATAGTTAACCAAAACAGAAATGAATGATGCCAATGTATACAGCAATATATATATAGCATTTTTTGAACCAGATAGTGGAAACTGAGAAAAATGTCATGAATCTTGAAAAGTGACAAAATACAGGACACTGAAAAAAAAAAAGATAACCTATGTTACGTAGGGGCAAAACTGTTACCTACTATAGCATGCAAAGTGAAAAATGTACCTAATGAGGGGTGTCTGGGTGGCTCAGTTGGTTAAGTGTCTGACTCTTGATTTCCACTCAGGCCATGATCTCATGGTTCGTGAGTTTGAAGGTTCGTAAGTTTGAGCCCCACATCTGGCTCTGCACTGACGAAGTGGAGCCTGCTTGCCATTCTTTCTCTGCCCTGCCCCCATTTGTGTGTGTGTGCATGTCCATGTGCTCTCTCTCTCTCCTTTTCTCTCTCAAAAAAAGTAAATAAACTTTTTTTTAAAGTGTACCTAATTAACGTGTAGTCTTGGGAAAGATGTTTTACAGGCAGGATGTTCAAAGCTCCAGCTTATCCTTTTTGCCTGTACAAAAAAGACACTACAAAGCAAAGATAAATTCAGAAAAGAACTGGCCAATTTACAATCAGACTTTAGAAGGTATATAAATAGGCCAGAACTTGCTAGGCTGAAAAGTAAAACTGTCTTTCATCCATACCTTTCCAGAGAGTAAATTTTCAAATTATGAGGGGGGGTGGGGGAAATTAAATCAAGACTGCAGCCATTTGATTAATCTTGGTAGTAAAAACTGAATCAAAGATGAAGCAGTCATGTCCTTTGTTAAAAAGCTATGAAAAAATTAAGGTGGTACCTAGTAGACCCTTCCAGCTGAATAAAAAGACTCCTAGAAAGCTTAAGGATGTGGTCCCATAGAAATCTGATAGACCAAAAATACCCATAATTAAGCCTAAAGAAAGCAAGAAATCTCTTTAAAAGAACCATAGAGGCAGCATTTTACAAAAGGAGTTGAGTTAAAGTTCCTTTTGCAAGTGTAATCAACGACCTTCTAAATAGATCTCTATTAGCTCAAGTGTCACTAGCTTGGGCTAAAAGGACTGATGCTGTTGGAGATTTTAAAAAACTTAGTCCTCAACTTCCCAGAGACAGTATGCAGGCCAATGAAACTGCTCACTTGCTCCCCCTGAAAGCACAGTCTCTAATGCCTTTCCTCCGAAGAGGCCAGGAAGGATAATGGAAGAGGATGATTTCCTAGAGTATTGAGGCAAGAGCCAAAGGAAACAGTTCATGGGCAGACATTCTCAGATAGCAATGTAGGTTGATCAAGTAATATTTTCTACCTCCATATAAGTGATGATGGTAGCGTTTTCCCAATGGAATTTCAGAATCACCTTGGACTAGGGGTTGCTATATGGCTCCCTTCTCTCATTATCTAAGAGCACCTATTATGGTTGGTTACCTGGTCCACAGGTTAGTGTTGCCTGTAAATGAGATGATAATTTGACTTTTTGTTTGTTTGTTTATAGCCCTCTAGATCAATAGGAGTGGCATCTTGATCTGATCTGAAGCCTCTTGCTACGTATTGTAAGATTCTGGGGATTCTGGTTGAGCATAAATGTATTCTTTATGGAAAGAGTTGTAAATAATTGTGGCCAAGGAGTGAAGATCTGTTTACTGACCCCTCCCACTATCCATGTCCTTTGTCCTGTAATTTTGAGGCTCCTTTCCCTGGGTGGCAGAATGCATTTCCCTCCTTTCGACCCAGAACTAAGCCAAGTCAGTTGCTTTGGCCAGTGAGATATTAACAGACCTGATACAAGTGATTGTTGTTTTAAATCACTTAATTTTGGGGTGATTTGCAGTTTCGTGGTAACAATAGCTTTCCAATACACAGACTAAAGAGGAAAAATAATGTGACCATTCCAGTGGATGAAAATAAAGCATTTGATTTAATTCAACATCAGTTCATGATAAAAATTTTAAATCTCAGAAGCTAAAAATAGAAGGGATTTTCCTTATTTTGATAAAGGATCAACATAAAAAAAAGAGAACTCCAGCAAATATCATGCCCAATGGCAAAATGTTCGAAACTTGATAAGATCAAAAATGAGAATGGCATATCTTCCGTCCACATTTCTATTCAAATTGTGTTGGAGAAAAAAGATAACAAATACTGGAGAGGAAAAAAAATAAAACTGTTATTTTCACACACACACATTAGAAAATGCCAAAGAATATGCTGATAAAATATTAGAATTAAAATATATATAAAAATTGTATTTCTCTATAACATCCACAAACAAAATATTTGTGCAATAAAAAATAAAAAATAAGTCTCACCTTCAAGATATATTCATTCAGCAAATACCATGTATTGTTAGACATTTATCATGAATAACAATGCTCATTGAAGGAAAAGCCCTTGTACAAGAACTATGATACTTCTTGGGTTGTGGTTTCTTTAACCACTAGAATTTATTCAATGAATGCTTGAATTAACAATGAAGCTATTGTTTTGTTTAGTTGGGTTTGGATTTTTAAATAATTAGTCCAGGGGTGCCTGGGTGGCTCAGGCAGTTAAACCTCAGGCTCTTGGGTTCAGCTCAGGTCATGATCTCATGGTTTGTGGGCTCCAGGCTGCTTCTGGCTCTGACCTGACAGTGCAGAGCCTGCTTGGGACTCTCTCTCTCCCTCTCTCTCTCTCTCCCCCTCCCTCCCCTGTTCACGCAGGTAGGCATGTGGGCGCGCTTTCTCAAAAATAAAAAAATGTTTAGAAAATAAATAAATAAATAAATAAATAAATAAATAAATGACTAGCCCAGGCCTCATTCAGGTAACCGGGTCTCTTGGGCCTGAAAATCTGATAGAAAATCATGAAGACATTCATCCAAGTTCCTTGCCGTAGTTACTTTTAATAGTTTTGAATTGTTCCTTATTTATTATTTTCAGCTTTCAAATATCAACATCAGGTTGGGATTTGAGATGGCGACGTAAGAGCATCCTGAACTCAGTTCCTCCATGGAGCGTACGGACTCTGGGGCTACAGGTGCAGCTATAGGTGCAGCGGTCCCTCCGCGTCCCGGGCGAGAGAAGCTGCGCAGAAGCAGGTAGGAGAGGCTGGGACACAGTCTCGCCATAAACCCCGCCCACGGCGGCGCCAGGACCCACAGCAGGGAGGGAACTCAGATCCCAGAGCTTCTCCCTCAGGACCCCAACGGTTTGAACCCACATCAGGCACCCCCAAACTTTTAAGTCCTGCATCTGAGAGAGGAGCCCTCAAAACACCCCGCTTTGAAGCCCAGGAGGACTCCTCTCCTTCAGACCCCCAGGGCTCTAAGGACCCGAGAGGCGGCTGGTGTGCAGGGACTCACCTCCCCGCCTGAGGTTCGCGTGGGAGAGGCTCCTGGGCTCGTCTTGGAGGGTCGGCCTGAAGGGCAGGCATTTGACAAACACTGGCAGGCCTGTTAGGGAATTTTTTTTTTTAATGTTTTTGTTTTATTTATTTCTGAGAGAGAGAACGTGAGCAGCGGAGGGTCAGAGAGAGAGGGAGACACAGAATCCGAAACAGGCTCCAGGCTCTGAGCTGTCAGCACAGATCCCAACGTGGGGCTCGAACCCACAGACCGCGAGATCATGACCTGAGCCGAAGCCGGACACTTAACCGACTGAGCCACCCAGGCGCCCCAATGCTAGGGAATTCTCTGAGGATGGAGACTGGCAGGTGCCATCTTTTCTCTCTCTGTTTTCTTCTTTCCTGGCGGGCGCGTTCTCTGCTCTAGCCCTCTGCCTCCCTACCGCCCGCTGTTGCCTCCCAGACAGGAGCTTACGTACACGTGTCGGAGGCCGGATGTTTGCAGCTGCAGCACAAGGGACCCCGGTACCTCACCTAGCACTGGTGGCCAGGGGGGCTCGTGCTTGCTGCCCCCACTGACTGTCTGTATTTGCATACTTTCGAAGCTACTTACTGCCTGAGGGTCCAGTTGCCAATCAACCTGAATCAGGTGCTGAGATCATTCCCTTCAGGTCCCGGACTGAACCACCGGGAGCCATCACCGATAAAACTGGCGGCTGAGACAATCACAGAGGTTTGAAGGACAACCAAGAGGTAGGCCAGTGTTGGCCCGTGAGGTTTATCTCCTGCTCCAGGCCACTCCTTCAAGACAGAGAGAGAGGTAGTCGTTTTACCTAAAGCATGGAAACCAGCACAGAGAGTGGAGCGAAATAAACAGGAATAGGTTCCAAACAGAAGAATAAAATAAAACCTCAGAAAAGTAAACACCATTTTCAGCCTTGTCATAAAAGGCCTTGACAAACAGAATGTATGCGTTTGTTCTTCTTTCTTCCATACAATTGTTGTATCATGGTTTTGTTGGTTAAAAAAAAAAAAATCCTCAGGGCATCTGGGTGGCCCAGTCAGTTAAGCATCTGACCTTTGATGTTGGCTCAGGTCATGATCTCAGGGTGGTGAGATCGAGCCCCTGGTCAGGCTCCATGCTGGGTGTGGAGCCTGCTTGATATTCTCTCTCCCTCTCCCTCTGCCCCTCCCCTCTCATTCTCACACTCTCTCAAAAACAAAAACAAAAGCATCTTTTTCTATGTCTTCAAGTATTGCTGGGTCAGTATAAGTCCTGATAAACCTTAGACATGCTGTTAAAGTCAGGGATAAGGTGTGCAGGGAATTAGATGTTGAGACAGAGAATGAACAATTCTAGTTTACTGTTCACCTGCTTTCAGGACTGATGATGATAAACTAATTTGTGTACCTCAGGACCCACAACATGGAGGCTGCCCCAGAGGCCCAGCCCACACCACAAGCCTGAACCTAAATCAGCTTGCATGTGGAGAAAATGCCTCACTGTCAAGGAAGCCTACCATACACGAGTCACAATCCTCCAACTCAGTTTTAACTAGAGTACCTGACCCTAGAAAACAGGGTCTGCTCGCCCTGTGAGGAAATCGCTGACCCCCTAGTCAATCATGCCATTTTTCATGTTGCCTTTTCTAAAGCTCTACAAAACTTTCCCTCACCCAAAATCCCTTGGGAAGGGCACTCCACAGATTGTTAGAACTGCACTCCCTAGTCCGTGGATTGTTTTACCTTGAATAAAAGACATCACGCTGTTTACTTAAATTGTTTTATTTTGTCATTTGACAATAACAAGTGAGGCTATGCTTTCACTTCTTCTATTCTGGACTAGTGTCTAGAATGCAAGAAGTCCTCAAAGATGGACAATATATCTTTTTCTTAGTTACTATCTGGTACAGCATTTAATAAAATGCTCACTTACTAAATATTTAGATTTCTACCCACCTATCAGTCCTTCATGATTTTCACTCTTCTGTTTTTGTTTTTGTTTTGTTTTTTTTTTTTTTTGGTTTAGACCCGATCTTTAGATTCTTGTTTTTAGTAGGTTGTGATAAGAAAGAAGTGAATGGGGGCACCTGGGTGGCTCAGTCAGTTAAGCATCTGACTTCAGCTCAGGTCATGATCTCACGGTTCATGGGTTCGAGCCCCACTTCGGGCTTTGTGCTGAAAGCTAGCTCAGAGCCTGGAGCCTGCTTCGGATTCTGTGTCTCTCTCTCTCTCTCTTACCCTCCCCTGCTCACGCTGTCTCTCTCTCAAAGAAATAAATTAAACATTAAAAAAAATTTTTTAAAAAAAGAAAGAAGTGAATGACCATCTGCAATATTAGTACCTCTTTTTCTTCAACTATTGCCTTTTAAGAGGCCTTTCGAATACAGAATATTGTGCCTTTGTGCTCTTCCATTACAAAGAAGATGGAATGTGATGGTCTTACAAGTGTCCTGGCATGAGCTAGCCCCAAACATTAGCCGTCCCTTGCTTTTAGTTTCTTCTCCACATCTCCAAGTTGACCAGACTCACTTCTGAACAAAACAATGTGCCTTTGTGGTCATAAATTCCAGGATTTGTTGAAAGGGTCAGTCAGACCAGGAAACGGAGTTTTACAGTTATGCACATTTGGAGGCAGAAACAGCACTTGCCTGTGGTTTGGTTTTGGTTTTAGCTTGTGTTTTTTATTTCCATTTCAATAGAGGCTGACCACTCTTAAAAGGTGGTGGAGATGAAACCGTGTCTATTCTGATGATTAGCACTATGTTCAAACTTCTAGTGTACACATATGTAAATCAACGCAGTTCTCATTAATTACACAAAAACGGGAAGATGGGGAACAAATGGCTTTCTGAACGGCATGTTAGGCCAAATTATCTGATTTTAGCAGTATCTGTATAGCTAAAGAGCTCCCCTTTCTACTCTCTGTCCTCAGAACGAAACCCAGAGCTTTTAAAGGCCAAGAAAAAAAAAATTACAGGGCATTCAGAGGGGGCAGCAGAGACTGTATGTTTCCAATTATCTTTCTCATTATGAAGGACTGTTCCTTTCATATTATTTTGCATCAGCTTTTAGTGTGCTGAGTTGAAAAGCAGTTTCACCTTGCTCTGGGAAAATAAGAATCTGAATCCCCAACTGGAGAAAAGGAAATGGGTACCAGCCATCATTATTGAAGCACACCTCGAGTTGAGTTTCGGATCTGACTAAAAATGTGAATAGCAGGAAAACACAAAAGAGTCTATTCTTTGTACCCATCTGAAACCAGGAAGTGATGAATCCCACTGGAGCGGGCCTGTTTCTACTTGGTTCCAAACCCAGTTTTCAGATGAAAGCGCCTTGGAGAGGTAAAGCCTTGCTTTGTTAAGCAAATGGTCGGCTTACCTCCAATGCTTTAACCAGCAGGCCTTGTTCTTTCTATTCTGTCCTGAACCAGTTTCAAGAGCAAAAGGATGTTTGTTGTTTCAGGACTGGATGTTATGAAGGTCCTTTGGAAACCAAATAGTCTCAAGTACATGCTCTTGCATACCAATGTTTCTAGATCTCAGCTGGCTTTCACAGATAATTTAAAGTTGCATATGTCCTAAAATAGTTGAGTATGTTTATCTCTTGCTATAACACATTTTAAAGAAGGAAAGTAACTAACTTAACATTTTAAAAAACCTAAAAATTATGAGAAAAAAATAAAACAAAATTGAAACTAGGACTCTAGATATAAAAAGAAAAAATAAATCTCCTTTTTTTCTCTATTTGGAAAGAAGAAAAAGAAAAAGATCAAGTTGGATGGGAAGGAGGGAGGGTGGAACATACGAGATCGACACAAAATCCAGATAATGGTGATGAGGGTTTGGGGTGATGGTGGGATTCAGAGCTGATGGCCAAGAAGGGATTCCTGAAGACATCTTTGGTGCAAAAAGGTGATCTTATTAAAGCATGAGGACGGGATCCGTGGGCAGGGAGAGCCACGCTGGGGCTGTGAAGAGTGACTGCTTATATACCTTCAGGTTGGGAGGGAGTTAAGGACAGGATAAGTCTCTAAGGAATTTTGAAAGCAAGGTTTCCAGGCCCTTGAGAGGCTAGCTGTTGTTAGGAAAACATCATGTACTAAGGTTTAGTAAAACCTCAGTCATGAGCCCCTTCAGATGTAAATCAAGGGGTCATATGCTTGGCGTATAAGTGCCAACACGTATTTGGGGGTTAAAGATAAAGGAGGTTTGCAAAGGAATGTTTATATGTTTAAGTAGACTCTTGGGGGGGCGGTCAGAATAATGTTAAGCCAAGCTCCCCTTTGCCCCTAGCAAAGTGTCATCATCAAGGCACCTGAGCTCCCAGAGGAAGGTTTCTGCCTGTTTCAAGGACTTGTCCATGGGCTGTAGACAGTAAAGGAATGTAATTTTTCATTTGCCTTTGTTTCCCTCATTACCGTGGCAAGCACTTAAACAAACCCTCTTACATCTTGATGAGGGTAATATTAGGGCTCCAGGAAACAAGAGTCTATAGGTTTCTGGAGATTAGGCTATGGGTAAGATTGCCTTTTTCTTGCAGTTACTAAGTTATCCATAAACTGAAGAAGACTCCTGTCCTGCATGACAGTGATCTCTATCAGTCAACCATTTTTTTTCCCTTTCCTTTGTTCTTAGGCAGCCAGGAGTGTCCAGGAAATACCACACATATCCCATCTGTGTGTGTGGGGTGGCGGGAGGCGGGAAGGGAGACAGGTATTTTGTTAGCTTGTACTTTGCCCCCATCTTGCCTTATGCTCCCTTATCGATGGGATTGTACCTTATTGAGGAGGAAAAAAATTTTATCTGCCCTTCAAAGTTCTTCTAGCTGGCCTAAGAATCAAATTGACATGAGACAGAATAATAAGAGAAAATCAAACAAAGTTTAATAACATGTATACCTCCTGTACACATGGAAGAGACCCTGGAGAACTGAGTAACTCCCCAAATTGGCCAGAGACATAACCTTAAATACCATCTCCCACTAAGGGCAAAATGTTGGGGGTTGGGAGTCAGTTGTGGGAGGTTACCAGGAAAAGCACAGTAAACAAGGGCAAGATTGTTACCAGATTTAAGTCCATGCCTTCTCCATTGATAAGTTTCTAGAGATTTAAGTTTCCTCATCTTCCTGGTACTGAGGGAGATACTCTTACAAATGGAGCTTTCCCTCATACGTGTAAATTTCTCATACAAAAAGGTAATTTCTACAGTTTTTAGAGTTTCTCTTGTGTCTGCAGTTTCATAAAAATAACCAGTCTAAGGAGGGCCTGTCTGACTCAGTTGGAAGAGTGTATGACTCTTGATCATGGGGTTGTGAGTTCAAGCCCCACATTGGGTGTAGAGATTACGTAAAAATAAGTAAATAAATCAAACTTAAAATAGATATCCAGCTTAAAATAAATAATATACCAAAAAGGCACATATTGGGGTGGCAAAAATTTTCCCCTATAGCGTATATGAAAGAAATAAACACTGAAATGCAATAAAAAATATGAAACATCTCCACATTATTCCTCTTTACCTCCCTCCTGCATATTGCAATGTACATTGACATCATATCATTTCTTGTGAATAAGAGTAATTTAATTAGGGCAAGGTGTCTGGGACCTGAGGCCCAAGAGTTTTCCAAAGCTTATCATTATAAAACAAAATCTACAAATTAACCACATTTTGATCTAAATGACTCAAACAACTTTATATGCCTATTTTTTTCCTTCT